AGTGGAAACAAGAAAGCAACGGCCCGTTTACGTTCCATCTACTGGCAGCAGGTCCAGCATAAGGGCCGGTACCTGCTTGCAGCAAGAGATGTTCCGTATTTTTCCCACCCCCCCGCAGGCTCGGTGAAAACGGCGCGCAGGGCATATTCAGGATCGGGCCTCCGCAACCGGTAGGTACTGGTGGTTTAACCACTGGGACCATGATCCAATCTTCAAGTGGAACCACCCCACTCTCCCCACATGTCATTCCTCTGAGACCCTCCTATAGGACATAGCCCTCGTAGCCACCAAGTCCGGGTATGCTTTCCCAACCAGTTGCCACATAGAAAGCATTGGTTTTATGCACAACATGTGGATCAACCTCCAAGGAACCGAGCCGGCAATCTTGGGCTGAGCAGCCAGACGCCCTAACCACCGGAACCATGACGCAATGTCCGGGAATGGAACCATACCAGTGGTGATATCCACCCCACTGCTGCATGGTTCCAGTAGAAACACCCTCTCGCCACGCGGCATCCTCCGTATAGGAAACAGCCCTTGTAGACACCATGCCAGCATATGATTTCCCAGCCACTCAAGACTTGGATCGACCCACCAAGGGATCGAACCAGGGATCTTGGGCTGAACAGACTGATCGCCACATGGCATCCTCCGTATAGGGCATAGTCCTCGTAGCCACCATGCCAGGGTATGATTTCCCAGCCACTTACCATGTAGAAGCACATTGATTTTATGCACAAGACTTGGATCGAACCCGCAAGGAATCCAACCAGGGATCTCGGGCTGAACAACCAGATGCCTTAACCACCACAATCGTTACCTAATGTTCAAAACTGAAACAAACCGCTACCGTCTTCACCCAAATACAACGCCCAGTCATTATAGCTGTTCCAGATACAGATATAATGACCAGGTGTTGTATCGGGTGAAGACGGTACTGATATGATGATATCCACCCCATTCCTGCAAGGCTGTACAGTTTGAACACACTCTTGAACTTCATCACAAGGTCATTTCCCTACAACTAAGATTTTCAGCAGACTATCAAATATGGGAAAGTTGTTTTTCAATCAATAGGTGAAAAGGCGCTCCGCAGCTTTGCTCAGGCGAGAATGCCAGACATGGAGACAGAAGCCATAGATTCGACATTGTTCTTTTTTCAGCCTGTACGGGGGGGGGGGGGGAAACATGCTTAGTCCAGCGGACAGGCCAGCCACGGAGACAGAATGGAAATCGTACTATAGTGTAGATGAGAATGGAAAGAATTAACAGATACGATATTGCCTTTTTTTTCGACGTATGTAGAGGGTGAAAAACCGTGGACGGAAAGGACAATGTTGGGCAGGTGGATAATGCCATGTGCAATGAGTGGTACAATCCTGGGTATGTGTATGCCGTTGTGGACTGGGCTGAGGGACCTAGACCGCCGTTATCTTTTTACTTGTGGCCTCTGTACTATGGGGCCTAAGTGATCCTATGCAGGCTGGATGGTGCTATGTTGACTGGATGCTATATGGCCTGGGCAGTAGAATGTGGGTGATACCATGTCAGGTGGGCGGTTGACATGGTGGAAGCCCTTTTCCCTGCGTACTTTTGTCTTTTTCCCTTCTTTATAAATACAACTGGAGTGCATCGCATCCCTGGCGCAGCAGGCAGATGATGAAACACTTCACACGTTTGTGTTTGTTTGTCTTTGCAAGTTGAATCCAAATGACACCCTCTCAGATCACAACCTCTCTCTCTCTCTCTCTCTCTCTCTCTCTCTCTCTCCTCGACTGACTCGTGAGCAAGTGCCCTGAAAGAAAGTACACTTGGGCAAAGTAGGCACAACTCGGCCCTAGCACAGCCAGGGGATACTGTGCAGGCCAGGGGGTATCATGTGGTGTGCGTGATACTATGTGGACCGGGCAGTATCATGTGGACTGGGTGGTGCGATGCAGGGCAGGTCATACTTTACCAACTAGATGGCATCAACACAAACAGCCATAAAATACAGAAACACTCAGAAAAAAACAGACAGTCAGGCACAAGTCCATCGGTGGTGCAAACACCCCCCCCCTCTTCAAAAAAAAAAGACAAGAAAAAAGGGCAAGATACATGTATTTGAACACCCCAGATAGAAGCTCCCCCCGAAGATTCCCCCAAAAAAAGGGCCGCACGCATGTGCCTTTGCTAGGGCATTTTGTGCCTCTCCTTCTCTGCTTCTATAAGGGCCTGCTTCAATTGCTCCTCATTTTGAGTCCTCTGGCTCTTCTGGTTCCCAAGCCATTGACCCTGCGGTTCGGGGTGTCCATCAGAGACAGAGGGGTCTCAACGTGGCCACTCCTATGTCAGCTTCTATAGCCTCCTATGTCAGCTTCTATAGCTTCCTCCATCTGCTCAATATTCTCTCTTCTTCCTCTTGAGGGCTTCCTCATCTCCTGCTCTTACTTCCTTACCTGCCCTACTTTTTTCTTTTCTCCATATGGTGTGCATCGCCTGGCTGGCGTATTTGTTTCCTGCTCCTTACCTCCTTTGCGGATATATGGCCATGCCACGAGGAAGAAGAACTACAGTATATATCGCCATAAGACAGAGCACAAGGAGGTCGTACATCCGATACTCTTCCACAACCGAGGGGTCAGAAAACAAGCGAACAAGGATTTGAACCCGTCCCACTACCGCCTATCACGCATACGCTCTCCCTACTCTGACGTAAAACCATTGGCCTAGCCTCGCTACAGGACTGGTCAACTTCCTACACTTCGGCTTTCATCTCCACCGAAGTTAACCACGTGCTGATCTTCCAGCTCACAGATCAATAGAAGGGTTGTTTTACAAGGGTCCCCCACTCTGGCCAACCGAGGTAGCATAGCCTTATATTGTAAAGAATTGTCTAGAGTTGTTGAATAGATTTAGAAGGGTTGAGAATGTGACAACATCGAGACCAGCCAACAGCCAATTCCAGGACAGGCTGCCAACTCCTCAAGAATTACTTAACGCCGACTGGCCTACAACCGGGCACTGGGCGAAGCCGAAGGCCTGACTTTAGTGAGTCCACACAAGAAGAGACATTGGATCTCGTACTCCACTAGCTTGCTTCTGCCACCTTTAGTTTGCGGCCCAGAAAGTTGAACACACACTGGCTGCTGCCGCCAATCAATCACTTTTCTTTTTTTGCTTTCATCACCCGCCGCATTTAATCCCTGCACGCCGGCTTGTTTATTTTGTGTGCCTACCCGATTCGATTGCACGCCAAAAGACGATGAGAGTCCAGCTCTAATACCACTGCAATGACCCCCCTCTCAAGGGCTCACACACACGGTATGCACACCGACATGACATGAGAACACAAGCGGAAATCGCTCAGATATTCAAGTCTCGTATGACAAGTCTTGCAGATGTACACTTTGGCGGCTACAGTCGTCAAACAACTTGCACCAGTCTCTCTGTCTCTCTCTATCTATCTATCTATCTATCTATCTATCTATCTATCTATCTCTCAAATGTCTTCCTCTTACTCAAGATCTTCCCTCTCTCACTCACACTCACTACCACTAGTTATGGCGGCTGGTATCATAGACAGTGCTACATGGTTTTCTCCGCCTCACTTGACACTTGACCACACAAGTCAGCAACAGTGCTTCCACAACTGGCTCAAATGAAACTGTGTGATGCTTCCCCTGCTGGACTTTGTACGCGCTGCAATGCCCAATCTTGGACTTTTCTGGAGCGGCACCCTTTGCCTGCCAGCTGAGCTCGGCTTCCAATGCGTCTGGAGTTTTCACAGACTTTCCTGGGACTGGGGTGGACTGAGCTTACAGATTGACTGCTGACTGACAGGTAACGAACTAGGCACACCAGATTATCTGACCTAAGGGCATACTGTACAGACCTGCAAACCCTACCGAGTTATTGTACAAACTGTGCCTATGACACCTACCTACCGGTTGGCAACATGATACGGCAACAATGGGACTTTAAACTGCAGCGGGTACTCTGAGATGTGTGAAATGCTTTCAGAAGAATCAGCACCACAATTCGACCTCGATGACCTGTTTACCTACGACACGCGTGCTTTTATTTGAATGTACCCAGGTTGCTTCGTGGTCCAGGGACACTCAGCCCAGCCAATCATTTTTTACCACTGTGTAGTGGTGTGAGGCCCGCCCTCTCTCTTTTTGCCAATAAAACAGGTACCATGAACGGACTGACCACATACATTCAGCATGACCAATCATTCTGAATGTATCTGACGACAAACAGATCCAAATAACATTGTGACCGCTGTGTAATGGAGCGAGGATCATCATCATGCTTTTACGGGGGGGGGGAAAAAAGTGGTATCAGGAATCCGGAAACGGAAACGGAAAACACACATGGCCAACCAACTGTACTCAGCAATGGGAAGCAAAAATTGTAGAAAAAAGGAAACACGGCCAACCAACTGTGTCGACGACTGGAAAAGAAAAGCACAGCCCTGAACGCATGACGGCCAACAAAGAAAAAGCATGGCCCTGGGCCCAGGCCAGAAACGAGTCTCACAGGACAGCGTCACTCGAGACCCCCTCAACTCTTTAAACCAGCACAACCTTTCAGAGGCAAACTTTTGCGACAAATTGGTTCACATCCACGTTCTTCAGGGGCCCTTCCTCCCTGACCTCTTCTCCGATCCCCGTTTTGTAATCCAACCAAAAAGTTCTGGACATAGCTTGTCCGTTCATCCTGTTCATTTTCAATTGGCTATCTTTCAAATGAAAGTGCTTGCTCATCAAATGACATATTCATGAACAACCTGCGATGAAAGTGCAAGTTTCCCCGCATTTTCTTGTGTGTGGTTGAGCAGGATGTGCCCACACACTCACCTGTGAAACGCACACTTGTCACTTGTGTTTATTGACATGCGATTGGTCAAATTCTAGTTATTTTATAACAGTGTGCGTGCTTGAGCAAGCGAGAAAAAGGGAAAAGAAAGACAGACAGAGATAGAGAGACAGTGGCACAGAAATAGAGAGACTTACTTGTCCCCTAACTCCAGTAGCTGGTTGACCTGATCAATATAGCCATGCACTCGGCTGTCCAAAATTAGCGATACAAGCAACTGCTCCACATCCTTTTCTGGAATGTTAAGCTCCTGATGCAAGAATGACAAAAATACCAGGTTCAATGATACGTCAACACATCACTCTCGAGGATGGGGGGGGAATGGGCAGGGGGCAGGGTGGGAGTGGGGGGAGAGGG